GCCAAATCCACCATCTATTATTTCCAGAATCATGGAGAGGATAGTTAAAGAACGCATAATAGAATATTTGAGTTCTATGAGCCTACTCAGTAAACATCAACACGGTTTTTTGAAATGTAGGTCGTGCACTACCTGCCAGTTAGATTACCTTGATTATGTGACTAGAGCAAGAGACGCCGGAAGTGCTATCGTCGTAATATTTCTTGATATCCAAAAGGCTTTTGACCGTGTCCCACACAATTTATTGCTGCTGAAGCTTATGTCCTATGGTATCACTAATTCGCTTCTAGACTGGTTGTCTTCCTACCTCGAGGGTAGAAAGCAAGTAGTCAAAATCGGTAACTATACATCTGAAGCCACTACAATCTCTAGTGGAGTGATTCAAGGTAGCGTGCTAGGCCCGCTTTTATTCTTAATCTATTTCAACGATCTCCTCGAAGAAATCTCGTATGGAAAGCCGTACCTTTTCGCAGATGATGTTAAAATTGTGTATTGTTCCACCCCTGGGCAACGTAGTCCTAACTTAGCCTATATTCAGTCTGACTTGTCCGCATTGGAGCTCTGGAGTAACTCCTGGAAGCTGCACTTTGCCACGGACAAGAGTAATCTATTGTACTACGGCTGTGGCCCTTCTCTGAACATCCTTACATTAAACGATACCCCTATTCCTGTGTGTGGCGCAGTCCGAGACCTTGGTCTAAGATATTCTGCCTCATTTAACTTTTTAGAGCATGTTATATTCTTGCAGGCTTCTGCCAGAAAAGTGATCGCCTACATAAGTCGAACTCTTATTTTGAGGGATTCCAGGCTTCAAGCCTTTAAAATATGTGTTAGGCCGAAACTTGAGTACTGTACGATAGTGCATAGTAATCTGAGAAAAGTGGATATTATAGCACTAGAAAACATTCAACGATCATTCGCAAAAAGGTTTCTGAACATGCCTAATACTATGACATACCGTGAGCGTTGCGAGGCGCTAAATCTGGAGCCGCTATGGCTACGCAGACTCAAACTTAATCTGTGCCTTTTATACCGCTTACTATTCGGATTGACCTTCACTGCTCAGCCACAACTCGAGTTTCAGACTCGTATGCGCTATGAACTAAGAAACAGCGAGCGCACAGTGAAAATACCAAAGCCTCGCACAAAGCTCCGCTCAAAATTTTTCTCTGTAAAATATGCGTTAATATGGAACAAACTTCCATCGAGTGTTAGAAACTGCACTACCTATGCACAATTCAGACGCATGATTAATATTCACCTGACTGATGCAAACATCTGGTCAACACTAAGCCAAACGGTGACTCTAGATGATTTGTATGAGAAAGGTCCTGGATACGTATGAAAGTCACCATATCCTCTATTCGTTTCAATAATATAAGATTACCTACATATAGTTGAATTCTTGAGTATATATTTGAGAACGATCTTACTCCGTCTAACCAATTCTGTTTTCTCCTTTGACGCACTGGTTCGTAGATGCACTACGCCTTCCAAGCTGATGTCTCTGTACCATCGTCGTCACACGCCAAGATTTTCCATCAAATTGTGACTGGCCTATTGACTGCTAATCATTTCAAAAACCCATATGGGAACCTTTGATCAAAAGACGAACAATTAACTATATTATGCGATCACATTGTACATGTTGATAAGACAACCCAACTGATCTTTGCCTCGCACTGCTGAGGAATAAAACGTTTATTTATTTATTTATTATTTATCTGGAATTGCTATCAAAGCTTAAACAAAATAGAATATGCTTAAACGTCACTCAAGCAAACATTCACGTATGGTGCTGATAGGTTTTTTAGAGGCCACAAAATAGAGTTGTGATAAGATGAGGGAGAAAACAAAACCCTAAATTCAGAAGGGGTAAACGAGCAGGAGAGAGCTTTTGTTAAATCAGCGCGGACGTTGTGGAGATTCATTTAAGACTTCTAATGCAAAGTTAGCACAGAAACCAAATTGTCTTAGTAAGGATGAAGTCAGCCAGATACTCTGGGCAATCCACCGCGCTTGGAAATGAGCTTAATGGAATAAGACCGGGGGAAATGACAGGTGAGCAATACAACCAGTGAGGAAGAATACAAGCGGTCACGGATTCGTAAATTAAAGAGCAGGATACTTATAACAGTTTTGGTTTCAAGGCATAAAAATGATAGTTTTAGCACCTTGCGGAATGTTCCATCAACATGTGTTGAGCTTGATAGATTATGAGGTAAGTTGTAGCACTTTGAAGATTTCCCCGGCTTGCCTGTGTAAAATTCTGACTAAAAGTATTGTTTCACTGTACACTTAGGCGATCGGTGCGGATAGTTGAACGGGTTATTGAGTTCGATTGCTTGAGCCGAGCACTGCCTTAGATAAGCGCTCGTTTCGGCTGCACTGCGGGAGCACCCTTGTGTGCTGCACTTTTTCGCTTGCTCCTCGCTAGCAAAGTCAAGGATGTTATTTTCTACAGCTACGTCAATAGGGAACCTCTTACCGTACAAAATAAAAGCCCTGCAACTCGTTTGGAATCGCTATCTGAACTCCCGCTAAAAAACACATCCCAAGGTAATTAATAGTGAATGAACTGTGTAAGGTGTGAGCGCTCACTACCATGCGGCGAGAAATGTTTGCTAAAGCCAGACGTTTGACTGTTCCAAGGAAAGATAAAGTTACATCGCGGCATTTAGAAGCATTGAGAATAAGGGATCGGGATAAAAACTACTGCTGAAGCTCATCCAACCTGTATTGGAGAGCTGCTGATGAGTCAACATTTAGAGCTATTACGCCTAGAATTACGTCGCCGGCGTACTTACATCCAATAAAGTTGGGAGGAATTGGGAGCACTTAGATATATAGAGAGAATAAAAGGGAGAGGATTGCTCCTTGTGACTCCCTTATTCGCTGATCTCCATGGTTTTTGTTGGCTCTGTCTAGTTTCTGGACTGCTGACTACTACTACTTGTAAAACGTCCCAGTAGCTGCACATCAGACCGAACGCCATTTGCAGACACCTGATTAAGCAGGACTAACCTGTCGACACTTCCAAAAGCGTTGGAGTGATCAAGTCTTGCAATCAGTGATCAGTCTTGCAGTTCGCATCCAATACAGATGCTATCGAGTGAACAATGTATGATACAGCATCCGACGTGGAAGGTCGAGATGCGTCCAAAGAGGGAGTGCTTGTTGTGATCCGAGGCAACAGTAGTCCTACTAAAATAATCAGGACGGAGGATGCAAGTCGACCGGACGGAATTTCATGGATCCCTTTATGGTTGGTTTAGTGATCGTTTGGTAGATATATCGTTTTCTAACAAACTGGAGAGTCTTGTCGGTTACTTGCTGCGGGAGACATCCGTCTAGCGCGTCACGTGTTCTGTGAAGAAGCACTCGCGATATGCGATCTCAGTGTGGACCGCAATTCGCACTGAAGTAAACCTTAGTCAATTAGAGACGTAGCTGAAGAAGTACACGGATATTGGGTGTTGCGCAACAGAGACCATTGCCCTGTATTACGCTTCTCAATTTTCTTTGATCTCAGCAGACATCGAACGAGGGACCACTGGGATCATGACAGGTGACGTTTAGCACAACGGTGGGATCCTTCTGAAGTATTCGTTGTGTAAATGCACTGCTACACGCAAGCTCAGTGTGGGACCGTAACTGATAAAGTAGATAATGGGTGTGAGACCGTACCAGTAAGCTTGAAAGCGCAGGTAATACTCGTTAGACAACGGCTCGTTGCTGAGAACGGACAACAAAATTGTACCCTAATGGAAGAACGCCTCTTGGCCTGACAAGAGGTATGACACCAGTAGACTACGGTCCCTATCCAAGTGTAAAAATCTGTGGCGCTCGTGGTCTGAGCCCATATAGTACTACCATCATTGTCAGTTCTTGGAGGTGATGACCAATGACCTGTCCGGAATATTGTTCTGAGACACGAATAAAGTACCACCTAGCATACATCAATTAGTTGTGGAAGTGGGAAATCCGCTGCGTTATCTTCGCGACGGAAAAGCTAGTGTGGTGGACTTGATTTAGCTGGTAGTGAACATGCACCTAAAAACGGAATGCCAAAACGCAAAGTAAAATGCCACTTCGATGGTACAGGAGCTTCATAGACCTAGTCATGGTCCTGTTAAGTTATACAAGTACACACCGAGTAACAATTCCACTTGATTACATGAATCTATCTGCTCAGTCGCAGTTTCCCCACGTTCCGTAAGACCCGAGTGCTGAAACCAGTTCAACGAATTGTAGTCCAAAGACCGTTCCTCACATCGGATCCACTCTAACGTTTATAGACAAGATTCTGACATGCAGAATATACTTCGTTGTATATTTTATGGATATTCGGTACCGATGAGTGGTTTTTGTATGCGAAGTCTATCTGGATTTCCTAAGCTTAGCTGTGCAGATGCGTTAGGGGACTCAGACCCTAACGAGATCTGTCAGGATGCAGCGTCCAGCTATCTGGTTCGAAGATGATTCGCTTGTCCCATGGTCGTGACCTTGGTCCAACCAATGACCCTTTGCCACAGCTACAGTTTCAAGGTCATGGTGTAGGATGACTTTGTAAACTAATGAAATCGTACCCTATTTACCTCGTTTGACTGCTCGAGAGAGTGTATTTGTTGTAGTCTTTCGACTTTTGTTTTGAGTCCAGCATTTGGAGTTTGAGATCGGCACGTTCGCAACATGTAGAAGGCCACAACAAGATGGTATCGGTATGTCGTTGCCAAATCACCTGTATACGTTAATAATTTGTAAATTCTTACCTGGGAACGACCCTAGAACAATCGGAAAATAGGTTCACTTATTTGGTAAGTGAATGATCACTTGGGTATCCAAGCTTAATCTGTGTGGCATCATGAAGTGAAAAATACGGGTTCAAGCGACTTCTACTGTGGGACAGCACAAGAGAGTGACGATCGGAAAACCCGGTCCACGGGCGCGTGAATCGAAGCTATCAGGGCATGCTGTGTTTGATCAATAAGCACATAAGTAAAAATCACGTATATGCGGTTGTATAGCGGACATTTATAGAAACAACGAAATAGACAAGATGTGCACTCCAGATGTCCGGAACAAGTATGTGTGCCATACAACAGGGCTAAGAGCGCGAGAAAATAGAAATACGAGTACGTAAAACCATCCTTGAGTTTAGTTCATCGAAACTCCGTTGAATTAGCCGCTCATGTTGCCAGAAGGTTGAGACGACGGTACAGCGAAGGAAGCTGAGTGCATGGCGGAAGTGCTAGCTGCATCGGAGGCTGCGGAGACGACAGGTGTTTGGCTTGAGACAACAGGAATGGAGCTGGGTACAGCAGTAACTCCATTGGGCATGTTCAGGTTTGTAGTTGAAGGCGGGAATGCTTGTCGCGGTCCCCGGCCACCTTGGATGGCGTCCCCGGTACCTCCAGCGTTCTGTACGCAGCTCGCGTTCACGCCAGGAATAGCAGGCGCGCGGACTGCAACTTGACGGAGGAGCTGGTTTAACCATCGTTTGGTAGATATATCGTTTTCTAACAAGCTGGAGAAAGTTCCATCGGTTAGTTGCTGCGGAAGACATGAACCTAGCGCGTCACGTGCTCTGTAATGAAAACAAGAAAAACAGATTGGAAGGCTCATTTCCAAGCATTCGTTGTGTGAATGGACGGCTACACACAATCTCAATGTGGACCGCAATTCGGTCATTGGGACCATAACTGATGATGCGGGTAGTTATTGAGTGTAGCCTGCTCGCAACATTGCACTGCTGGATGTGAGGAACACCTAATATCTATCAAAAAGTAAAACAGAATTCACTAGCAATAAGAGGGGGGGTGCATAGGGATAATGGGTGTAACGAAGAGGTCCGATGCAAAATATACAAGTGATGCACCAGCGCACTAGAGTGCACATGCATAGATGCCGCTTGAGAGAGACAATAACGAAAATGGACGTACCGAGCGTCGTCTGAGAGGCGTAGATAACATCGGATCACATGCTTCAGTAAGCGAAGTGACTGTTCTTTCGCCAGGTGATTTACCATTTTGTCTAGGACGGTTGCGACATGGGCAAATCGTTCGTAAGTCTGACAGATGTAGGCCAGCCCGACTTCGTCCAACAGGAGCTTTTGCATGATGAAGGTGGCAACCTGGTACAGAACAACAAAATTGGTTCCGCGTCGCACCGACAGCGTCAGATATGAATGGTGATTAAAACCAGCCTGCTTATGATTTACCTAAGTCTAATACATCCAATAGCGTAGATAACCCCAGCCCTGGGATCAATAATCACTGGAAGTTCATAACGTCAACAGATGAGCCACACCGGTGACATTCTCGGACTACAATGATATGAATATTCCGTTGTTGACTGAGGAGTTATAGCCACAATCATATGGCATATATTGTAAAAAAGGCATGGGTTTTCAGACTAACATGCAACGCGTGTATATGAACATGCAATTTATGTGGGTAACGAAAACCACAACGGAGCAATGTCGGCGGGGAATAATCAAATTGTACAGTACTCCGAATGGTCATAAGCAAGGTTACAAAGGATCTACGCAATGATAAGGCAAAGCGCTGAGTATCAGGCGCTTGCAGCTCACCGTTTTGCTCAGCTCACTTCCAGATTCCATGATAACCAAACACAGAGGAATGATTTCCGATCCAAGGAGAAAAGCGATTACCTCTGGTTCATCGGTCTGAGCGAGAGGAAGTGGAATACAGTTAAATTAGGAGCATAAAAACAAGGATTTGATAGCGAAGCATATATTACCTGAAACGGATGATGCAAAGGAGTCGCAAAATGAAAACCGGACTTAACTATTTCTACGATATTGTTTTCATCAGTTTTGGCTTCGTTGAGCTGATTGGATGCCATAGTGAGATACAGGATGTGATAGTCATGAAAAAGGATACGAAATGCTCGAAAAATGGTTACGTCGGTGTATCATAGGGGCGGTAGAATAAACACTACTATGTTGGTCATCCGCAAACCAGAGTGCCACGTTTAACGTAGAACTGGCAAGAATACGCAAAAAATCGGGGCGTGCTCACCAGAGAAAGGTAAGATAAGCGCGAGAAACGCACGTCGTTTCACTTTATTTTCCTGTTTAAGCAACGCTTATCTAGGTAACAATGAATATCAGACTGGTGATTAAGAATCAAACACGTATCGTTGATGCCGTGAATTCACGTCATCTGCTGTCTTACCGTTTTAGCGAGCTACTCCTGACTTTAAGATAACAAGTATTGTGCAATAAATTAGGCGAGAGGTGCTAGTTTTCCGTGGTGACCGTTGGCTGGTAAGGAGAAAGCAAGTTTTTCCTGGAAAGACTATTGCTACTTCCACAAACAACCTACCGCTTAATTGAAAGTTAAGGAACAGCACTCGGCGCCTGCACAATTTAGTGGTACACACCAGCACACTGTCTTGGATCTATCCAACATGTTTCAGGAGAGACATTTGCGATGAAATCGCACACAGGCGGCTACTGTATCGATTCACAAAGAGGGCTGTGGATCTCCATTTAACAAATAGCCTGTTAACTAAACGCCGCCAAAACATCCCATATCGTGGTCAAAATTATAGATCGCTTAATGGCCTTCGGCTTCTAGAAAACGGTCAACTTGTAAAAGTATTGGCTTCATTGCCAAACCTCAGTATGTTGCAGTCACGTGAAGGAATGGAAGGTTCCATAATCTTCAAAGTTAATCGATTCATTGCTGAAATAATGGATGTTACTCGATGTTTTTACTTTCACCTGGATATACCTATGTGTTATCCGTAGCGGACGAATTTACGCTCTTGATGCACTGCCGACAAACTGCTAACAGTGTGATAGGAGCTGTTTCGCCCCAGGATGGCGTTATTCAGTATTGAGCACGAGGTTCTCTATTCGCTATATAGAGTGACAGCTGGAATATAGTCAAAATAGTGTCCGAACCCGGCACACAGGCTGTTCACGAAAATGACTGAAGGTCAATGCAGTAAGCCATAAGAAGATAGGTGCGTTGTTTGGGATTGGTCCAGGAAAACAGCGCGAATTGAGAAGACGCCTAATACAAACGCCTACGACTGCGAAGAATCTCAATGCATTAACAGTACATCGTACTGACGCGAGGTCATCCGTACCTAAACGGATATGTATCTGTGATTTCCGGATCACAATGCAGGCGCTCAAACCTTTCGGCCACCGGCCGTAGGTCCTCAGAGGCATCGAAAGTATTGATCTCTTTGACATAACCATCTCAGACCACAAGATAGGAGGTTGTATAAAATCCAGACTACTAAAGGTAACAGGATGAAATGTTGTGTTTGCACAAATCCTTGCTTGTAATTGGGTTGTGATGCGGCCTAGGTAGAAGCTGTTCGAAGATGATAATACTTTGTGTAATGGCAAGAAAGTAGTGGTGCGTGTTCGTATATGTTAGCAGAGGTGACGATACTAAAGCAAGTGTCGAAACGCTGGGAGCTTCTGCTTGTCTTCCCGCATACAAATTCGATGAGCGTAAGCATGCCGTACCCGAAAAGCCGTTCTCTCAGAAGCGTCCGTCAATCTCACACATAATTCCAGTAACAGAGAAAAGCCAAAATGTGCAAAAAAGCAGCTCACCTTCACCAATGCGCCAATAACACCAAGGCTTGTCAGTCGAAGGTATTCGAACGGGCGAGTTCTGTTGCTGGTGTTGAGGAAGGTGTAGAGATATAGAGGAATGTTTGCCTTCAAGAACTCGCTTCGCGTTTCCGGGTGAGATGCCAGACATTGAAGAAGAGCCAGAGCATTGCAAACTCGATTAGACTGATGAGCCTGAAAAATTGACAGATGATATGGTAATGCGGGATATTTACTATAGGAGAGTATATACAAAAACAGAGTCCGTATCTATGAACTTTGCGCGAACAATGTGTTTCGGGGACGAGCGGATACATGAGATGCAGAGTAAACATAGCGGCGTGTGTGCCAAACATGCCGGATGCATCTAGTGGAAGCGGTTAGTTCCGAGCTGGCGGCGAAAATTGATGGAACTTCGATTCCGTGTTATTAACCCGCTGGCAACTGCGGTCCGGTTACTCGAATGATGCGGCACTCGCTTAAAATAGCATGGATGCGCAACTTTTGCATCACAGAGCCATCATACGGAAAAGTCATAAAGCAGGAAAAAGGATTTTTTCCACCAACGGATAGTGAAGTGGAATGAGCCCATTTATTTCTGTTATCCACTTTATTTCGGAATGGATAAAAACAGCCCCATTGTACACTTTTGCGGAGGAATAAGTCATTCCCAAATATGAGAACAAGAAATTGAGAGGTTTGAACGAGACACACTATGTCGAATGACGGTGAGCAGCAGTGATTTGACTGCTGCAACACGTAGCGAGTAGCAAAAGGTGGATGTTAGCGAATCCGCATGCTTGAGTTTCCAGACCTGACTTGACTCAGAAGACCGAGCATCTTAATCTGTGCTTTCACATCTCTTTGCCATGTCAACACCCGGTGGATTAAGGAATTGCCAAACAGACTCGATCGAGACGAAAAGGTCACACTACTTCAAGCGATCAATGACGTAACCTAAATAACTTAAGTGTTGAAGGTTTGTCAAACTGGACCGATTCCAAGTGATGAATGACAGAATTTCTTACAGTGTGGTTTCATTCAATGACGGCGATGCAATGTACAAACTGGTGGTCAAAGGCGAACGGTTTCTCATCCACGAATTCGGCCATTGCTTTTATCGTTGGATTATTTTACATTACAGACTGCAGATTCTATATTTTAATTTCAACCTTGAAGCAATACGCTGCTTCTGATCCAGTCTCAAGGTCATTGCTGTCCTACTCCGTCAACCATTTGAAAAGGTTGCGTGTTACCGCCGTAGGTCCGTGCTAATTCGAATACGCCGGAACACCTTCAAACATATTAGGAATAAATGTCTTGGAAAAAAGCGCAAGCATCGTGCTGGCTGGCAATCAGACTTTAGTCCTTGTTCTGTCGACAAAGCGAAAGTCCCACTGATACTTTCCAGTAATGTTCGCTCGTTTCTTAGCAAAATCAGTGATCTCATTGCTATTATGCAGCGAAATGAGTATGTCAATGCAAGAATCATTCTGTTACAAGAAAGCTGGTTGCATACTGATGTGGAAAATGGGTTAGTTCAACTCGATGGTTATTTTCCCATCATGTCTGACCACCCCGGGAAGCACCAATTTCGTGAAGGTGGCGTTATAACTTACGTTAATCAAGGGTGGTGCAACTCAGCAATCGAAATATTTAAGTACGCAACAATTTCTCTAAGCTGACACTAAGTTGAATGCAAACCGAAGTTCCTAAGTGGCATTCGATCAGTTATTGCTGGAAACGTATATATTGCTCCTGACACATCTGCATCGCTTAAAGCCTTTTGAAAACCAACTTTCTTCAACGCCACTGCTTAAATCAGATTGTTCTATCTGTATTGTTGCTGGCAACTTCAATGGAAAGGATACGACATTCTTGAAGACACTTGGCTTGGTAGACCAAGTGACTGTTTCGACTAGACCAGATGCCCAGTTAGACACTGTGTTCACAAATAAACGAGAGCTATTTGCCATACAAAAGAGGGCTTCTTTGAGTAGCTAAAACCATTGTAGTTTAAAACTGTTTCCAGTCATATATAGCTGACCAGACGTACTTACAAGGTTATCAAACGGCAAAATTGCTCCTTGGAAAATATCAAGAAACTTCAGACGATGTTTACTTTAACTGATTTTTCGGTCTTCAACGACGAGGACCTGCCGCTCGAATGTGAGCATCTTACGGACTACATCAAATATTGCTTTGACATGTGTTGACCTGTTGAAAAGATCTATCTAAGAGCAGATAGATTTTCATCACCACTACTAAAGCGAGTTCGAAGGATGAAAGATTAGGCTAACAAGTGCAAGAATGCTACGCATGTCAAAAGTCTAACCACAGCAATTAAATCCGAGATAAAAAGGCTATTAATTAATTATACGTCGAAGCAGTTCTAGGCAACCATAACCGAAAGGTAGGTACACAACTTTTCTAGCGTGAAACTGGATACAACTTTAATTGAAGTTCTATCGTTCGGTTTAAAATTTTGTGCACCTAGACGTAGAGACAACAACTTCATTACGAGTTGCAATTCGAAAACCTATATGACCAAACGAATGGGTTAACACCTACGTCTAATATGGATCTCGAACGCTTTAAGTGCTTCTTGGTACATCGTTGCTATCAATATCGTAAACATCGTGTCCATAATTGTGGTCCATTAACAAGAAAGCATCTAGACGCGCTGAAGGAGCTTAAACGCAATGAGGAGGTCATTCTGTGCAAACCGGACAAGGGTGCCGGTATTGTGTTATTAGACAGAGAAGATTGTATTGATAAACTCACAACTATTCTGAGCGATAAGACGAAGTTTTCCTGCGACACGAGGGAAGCTGACCAAACGGAATAGACTGAGAGACAGATCACTAAAAGCGTCCAACAACTTCGAGCCAAGGGGTATATAACCGATGCATTGTATGACAGTCTTAGAGCTTGTGGCACAAACGTTCCGAGACTTTACGGCTTGCCAAAAATCCATAAGGCCGACATCCCGTTTCGTCCTATTCTGTCAATGGTTAACTCCCCCTACCACGCAGTTGCCCATTGGCTTGTAGGAATTCTTGAGCCGGTGAGACAATAGCTTGTGATTTACAGCCTGCGCGACAGTTTTCAGTTTGTCAAGAGCATCAAGGAGGCCAAAATTTATGAGAAAGTGATGCTCTCCTTTGATGTTGTCTCGCTTTTCACTAACGTGCCGCTGATCGAAACCATCGATTATATTTGCGAGCAGATAACGTAGTTGGAAATTAAGATTTGTATACCTGTGCTTGAATTGAAAGACTTATTGCTGCGGTGCACATGGAATGTGCAATTTCTATTTAATGCTTAAATTTTACTGGCGAAAGGATGGTGTAGCCATGGGATCCCCCCTCGGTCCATTGTTCGCAGATATATTCATGGCCAAATTAAAGCGAACAAAATTGCAAGCGGAGATTTAAAAAAATGTTGATTACTTCCATCGTTATATGGATGATATATTTATAGTGGCGGATAAAGGCATAAATCTGGATGAGGTTCTCGATCGTTTTAACCGGGCTCACGCAGCAATGCAATTTACTTACGAGGCAGAAACTTGCAATCGGCTTCCATATCTAGATGTCTTGTTAACTAGGAGGCCAGACGGCTCCATCCAGCGAAAAGTCTACAGGAAAATACGTGGACTGGTCAGTACACGAATTTTCACAGTTTCGTCCCGCTGAGATGTAAGCAAAACTTAATCCACTGCCTTACCACAAGAGCACGTAGAATTTGCTCACCGGACACCCTGGATGAGGAACTAGCCTTTATAAAGAATACGCTGCGCGAAAATGGCTACCCTGATAGATTTGTTTCAAAGAATTTTGAAGAAAAGCCCAAGCCGGTGCCAGTTTTAACCGAGGGGAAGGAGTTATTTTTAAGAATACCTTTTAAGGGGGATGCCCCTATCGAGCGCCTAACCAAAAAGTCCTTCAGCGGTAGTCAAGTCGACATTCCCAGCAGCCAGGCTAAAGTGCACATTTGCTACTGAACCACTTGTTTGTTCACGCATTAAGGATACGCTGCCATTGTTGACCACATCTATGGTTATTTATCAGTTCAAGTGCGTTTGGGACGCTACTTATATTGGTCGAACGGCACGGCACTTGTCCAAACGCGTGAAGGAGCACTGCCCACGCTGGTTGCGTCAAGGAGGAACTGGGGCCATTAACAGCGCCGTTTTGGCCCAAATTGTCGACACGGGGCATCAAGTCGATCTAAAGCGTGCCTTCGGGATAATTTACAGGATCTCCCAGCATCAATCAAGAGGTTTGCGCCTCCGTGCGCTCGCGACAGCTGAATCGATTGCATTCGGTTATTTCAACCTTCAGTATGCTTACAAAAGAAGTTGCTCCATGCCTTACAACTTCCCTGGCCAGCTAGAACGAACGACGCTGAGGTCGACTGCCACAGATCAAGCTCGATAACATGCAATCGACCTGTCAGATCAAAGGTCAACTTTTAGCCTCCCTCACTGATCCGTTAATTAACTATGAAACTTGACCCAATGAGTCGATTTCAGTTCATTATTTTACCCATAAGTATGATTGTGATGGTCTGAAGAGAATCATCGTAAACAATCGTTCACCGATCGTCTCGCGTTCTTTTGACTCTATATGGGAATTATCAAGTTGTGCAACCATAACTGTCGCGATCTATGGAGGCTTATGAAGCAGCTCTGTGTTAAGAGCATTTGTAGCCAGAGAGGATGTGGATAAACTGAATTCTGAGTTTTAGTTTTGCCTCATTAAGCTCGCCTTCTTTGCCATCCTTCATTAGCACAAGTCCAGTCGTGCACTTCGATCAAAGCAACGTTCACAAGGAACTCAAAATAGTAAAGGCAAACAAAACTTGTGCTCCGGATGCTCTCTCACCAGTTGCTTTGAAGGAGTGTGCTGTTCCTCTCATAGTGCCTTTAGTGGAGCTCTTTAACAAATGCTTCACTACGGGTTTGATATCGGACATTTGGAGAACGGCAAGCATAACTCCAGTACCAGAACATGGATCCTTAAAAGTATCGCCCCCATTTGCATGTACATTTGTGCTTCTAAAAATTTTCGAAAGACTTAATTCCGCGGATTTGTTCAGCTGCCCGTGAAGACGATATCTACCAATTTGCGTACAGACCCCAGCGCTCCACATTGGATGCAGTGGCATATCTTGTTCATTCCATAGTCTCT